CGCACCCGTGCCCAGACCCGACAGCCCGAGAGGCCCCATTCTTCACTGCCCGAAAAATCAGATCGAGGCGACGTACGACGGGGAACCCGGAAGAGCTGTCCTACTTTGTGGTCCGGGTGATGAAATTCGTGGAAAAATGGGGCCACCTGTTCCAGGATGACAGCAGCCGAGTGGATGCAATCGCCGCCCACTTGAGAGGGGCTGCGGCAACTTGGTATGTGGGCTTGCATAACACAAGGAGCCTGGAGCTGGTGAGTGTGGATGCTTTTAGGTGGGCATTGCGTGCCCAGTTCGAGGACCAGAATGCTGGCCCGAAGGCTAGGGCATTCCTCCGCATCCTAAAACAAGGGAAGCGGTCGGTGAGGGAATACCCGTCTGAGTTTAAACTTCACGCCGCCAAAGTCCGGAACTGGCCAGATCAAGTCCTGGCCAAACTATACCGGGTGGGGCTGAATCCAGAGGTCCGCGAGACTGTTCTCCGTTCGGTGGACCCAATCTCCCTCTTGGCATGGATGCAAGAAGAGGAGAGCATGGAGAGCCGCCTGAATACCCTGTGCCTAGACATTGCGGCGGCTGGGGGAAAATCCCCCCTCAACCCGGCCCAGAAGGGGAAGCTGGTAAGACCACCCAAAACGCTCCGGGACCAGCGCTTGAAGCAAGGGCTATGCCTCAGGTGCGGAGAATGGGGCCACTTCGCCGCCGACTGCAGTGGATTGGGCCCTGGGAAACCAGGAAAAGTTGAGCCTGCCAAGGTGCGAATGGGGACCCCTGCGAAAAAGCCGTTGGGCAAGCCAAAGTTCGCCAAAGCCCTACAAGTGGCACTGGAGGAAGTGGAGACGACACCAGCGAGGAAGAGAGCGTCGAGCCGGCGGGAAAAGGCCAGGTCCTGCTGTGAGTGTTGCGGAGCAGCAGGGCCTGATCCCGGAGGCACCAAAAATGGTGAGCAGCTATCCTCCCCTCTTTTTTGTGACTGTGACTTATGAATCCGATCATGGGAACCCACATCAGAGTAAGGGGCCTCATTGACTCGGGGTGTGGGAGGGATCTTATTAATCCGTCCTTGGTCTCAGGACTGGAAGCTGCGGTAGCACAGTTGCCTGAACCCCTAATTTTTACTCAAATGGATGGGTCTACAATGAAAGAACCTTGCCAATTTGAGATGGTGCCCTTGCGATTGGGGGCGGGGGACCACTGGGAAGAACGCTCGGTTGTGATCACCCAATCGGCCTGACTCTTGCTCTTTCCCTCCCTCCCCAAGGGAAGGGGGGAAGCCTCAGCCAATAGATGGAAGAGAGGCTTTGCTATGTCGCTCCTGTGTGATTAAGAGAGCCTGGCAAAGCAAGCTGTGATGCAGAAGGAAGCAGGAGAATGGGAGAAGGAAGCAGAGAGCCAGTTGCTCACAGGCCAGATACGAGCCCTGTGAAGGCTGCATGTGTGACACCTCTGCTCTAGTTAATAGAAACTTATGCTAACAATAAATCTGTTTGTTGTTAGGATGCCACTCCTTTTGGTTTGTTCTCCCATTGCCGTATATTTGACCTTGTGCTGCTTAACTTTTCCTGTTCTTCACACAGACAGGCATGAGTTGTTTGCCATTAGATCCCTGATAGAATCCCACGTCCTTTAAGGACCAGCATGGCTCTATTTCTTATAATGGCAACTATGCAGTATGCATTTGGTAAAGAAGACACATGTTAGGCCCTACCTCATTAGATTTCTTAATCAAATAACACCACAAGAAGAGTGTAGAGATGAGAATGATGGGACAGCCTACCTCAAGGAAGAACAAAAATCCAAGGGGTCGGTCTGTTGCAAATAATTCTGTGGCACCAAACCTTAATTGCCAGGTTTATCATATGCCAAACACAGAGGAAACAAACTGTAAGCTATCCTCCAAAGGCAACAGCACAGAAATGTCATCCTCTGTGACTTTTTGCATTTCATGAAGAAATAACACATTTTCAGATGTATGAAGTAGGCCCTAGCCCAAGAAAACAAATTCCACAATATGTTTTTTTTGGTGAGTTTTTAATGTGTGTGTGCCTGGAAGTCATGGTTGACTTCTGGAGACCCCTAGTGGGGCTTAGATGTTTCTGAGAAGTGGCTTGCTATTGCCTGCCTCTGCATCTTGTCCCTGGTATTCCTTGGAGGTCTCCCATCCAAGTACTTGCCAGGGTTGGCCCTGCTTAGCTTCTGAAATCTGACAAAACTGGGCTTGCCTGGGCTATCCAGGTCAGGGCAAATTCTACAATATGTTTATTAGTCGTTCAAGTACTGTGGGATGCTTTCATGTTTTAGATAAGATACACAGCAAACTGCTCTAGCCCTGTACCCTCCAACTGCCTTCTATCATTTAACCCAATGGGCATCAGTCATTTACTAATGGGCTGGCTAATTTCTAAATTACTACTATTCAGGTTTGCAAAATTTGCATGGTCATTCTATATGAAACCCATACAGCATTTGTTTTTAGACACAGCATCAGCTCAAAAACAACCACATTTAGATGGCTGCCAGCACTGGCGGACAACAAAACACCAGTACCTACTATCTATAGGTGGGCACAGTTCACCTTTTGCTTACCACATGGAACTCCAGATGACTAATTCATCTTACCCAATGGTAATCTCCCTCGTTCTTACACACATACACACTGAGTAAATAACAGAAAAAGTAATTTGTAATCCTAACTATGCCCACCCTTTGATAAAACAGGAGACCAATGGGAAGTTACAGGCTAACAACATTTATTCCAGCATAAACTTTGTTCAGTCAGAGTTCATGTCAGCAGATAAATACTTTGATAGGTTCTGATTGCAATTATTCATTAATTTTTTTCCGTGCAGTCAAATGAAATTTCTCCAAACACAATTCAATACACCTAAAAAAAAAAGGCAAATGAAGTCTGGAATTATAACTATCTCAATGCTGTTACAGAAGTGTATGTTATACACACAACTGGAATACTGAGTGCAGTTCTAGCTGCCCCATCTCAAAAAATTACATTATGTTTATTTTTATCCTACTTTTCTTCTCAGAAGCTCAAGTGGGTCTTCTTCACCCTTCTCCCCCAATGACATCCTCACAACAACTCTGGGAGGTAGTCTAGGCTGAGATCAAACATCCAGCTGGACACTGTGGGGAAACAGGATGCTGGATTTGACGGGTCCACTGGTCTGGTTCAGCATGCTTGTCCTTATACCAGATTTATATAGAAGCTTAGCTTAGGGCTTGCTCTTTGTATTTTGTTTTCAGGAGGGTACAAGATTTGTGAATTGTACACCTGACATGTCATTGAGAGAAACATGACTCTGCGTACATCATATGGATACGTTCATCAGGGGAGTGTGCAGCCCTCCCATTGAGTGTGTACATTTGGCGGCAAACCTGGGTTTGCCCTGAGTAATGTGTGAAATGGTCCCAGCTGCAACTACTAAGGGAAAGCTCTAAAGCCGCCAGAACAAATATTACGAAAGCTATTCCTGGCTGGGCACAGCCTCTCTTCTGCCATCTTCAGTACAAGAAGAATGCACATTCGGCCAAACGTCAATCCCACGGGTTTTTTGGGTTTTTTTTTTAAAACCTATTCTCCCTCTCATTGCCTCATCTAACTAGATTATGGAACTCACAGTACAATCCTAAACAAAATTAATCCAGTCTAAACCCATTTAAATCCATGGGTTTAGGCTGGAGAAACTTTTCTTAGGATTGCACTGTTACTGCCCCAGAAGGTAGGTGAGCAGATAGCAAGATTAACAACTGTCTGCAAATACTATCTGCAAGCCCTAACAGTTAATACTATTTATACAGCTGGGTCCAGAACAAAAAGTCTATTGCTGTAAAATGGACTTTAACCTGCTTGACATCTGCTATCTTTTGGGACCAACACCCAAATTCCTTTTTGCTGCACTTGGGACGAATTGTTCACAAGACAGACTTTTTTGCATCTTTATTCTCAAACACCTACACTTTTGTTTTAAATTGCCCAGGATGAAAGCCAGCTTTTTGTAGCAAACGAAGTAGAGGACTAATCCAGCATGGCAATCCACATTTTTTCTCTAGGAGGCAAACCACTAAGTCATGGGACAGGTACACACACTAAAAATATCCCATGGTTTTACCCTTTCCAACTAGTTCATCTCTTGCCCCTAGTCAGTGCTAATCTTTGCCATAACCTTGCATCAAAAGAGAGAGGACCACCACTCTTTAATCATTGTTAGCATGTAAAAGTGTTGCAGAGTAAAATCACTGAATACAGATTAGGGTTGAGTCCAGTGGTACCTTTAAGACCAACAAAGTTTTAATCAAGGTATATGCTTTTGTGTTTTTAATAAAACTTTGTTAGTAGAGTTGCCAGCCCTGGGTTGGAAAATACCTGGAGACTTTGGGGGTGGATCCTGGAGTATGGTACAATGCCACAGAGTTCACCCTTCAAAGTAGCCATTTTCTCCAAGGGAGCCGATCTCTATTAGCTAGAGATCAGTGGCAAAAGTGGGTCTCCAGGCCCCACCTGGATGCTGGCAACCCTATTTGTTGGTCTTCAAAGTGCAACTGGACTCATTCTGCTGATTCAGACCAACACAGCTACCCACCTGAATCTACAGATTAGGCTGTGTGGCTCACCTGCTTGCAAGAGAACGTGCTTTTAGGAACCCCCGTTTTAAAGATGCTATCTGAACTATTTTGAATGTGATCTATTTCATTTACACCCAGCCTGTCTCCTCAATGGGCATTCAAAAGAGTTTACACCCTCCTCCTCCTCACCTCCATTTTATCCTCACAACACCCCGGTGAGGTAGGTTAGGCTGAAAATGTGTGACTGGCCCAAGGCGAGGCTGGCAATTCAAACCTGGGTCTCCCCACTTCAACCACTCCACTAAGGCGGTTCTTTGAGAAACGCAGGAATTCACTGCCGTCCAGCCTTCCGCCCTCAAAGTAGCCCAACCGCTCGTCAACCGAGGCCCTCAAGCGTGAAGCCGAACCCAGCCGCTGGGACTCACCTCCACCAGTTTGTAGTTCCTCTCCTTCGGGCTGTTGCTGCGTTGCCGCCTCAAGGGCAGCCCTCTCACCGCAGCCAGGAAAGCGGTCAGACACACCACGCTCAGCATCAGCACAACTTTCCCTCCGACCTGAGACATCTCTTCCGCCCACTGCGCCGCACCTCCTTGCGCCCTCGCAGACACCGGGCGGGCGGGCAGCGCACGCTTAATCCAACCTCGCCAGTGAGACAAAAATCAGACCCTTAAGAAGGAAGGGAAGGAGAGCACAGATGTGAACTGCAATCCTCTTTTCCGCCTTCTGCGCCGATATTGTGCCTTCGGAGCGGTTACTCAGCGAGGGCGTGCGCGCCACAGAGTCCAGATTGGGGGTGGGGGTGTCCCCCTCTCGCGCTTCGCTCGCTCCTCTGATCGCTCTTGCGGTTTGCCGAGCCCGTCTTGGGTCGCTAGTCCTTGCTGGCTGCTAAACCACCGATGTCGAAAGGTAACTATGAGGAAAAAAAGAGTTACGGGGCTGGAAAGGGCCGGGGGGGCGGGAGGCTTCTCCCATCCGCCGTCGCCCTTTCGGTAATCTTTCCTGCAATTGGATTTCTCTTCCTCCCGCGCTTGACTCACTCGCGCCGTCCAGTTGCGACGAACACCTCCGGCGACCGAGGCGCGCCGATGCCGCGAGCAGCTCCTTTCCCTTTGCGCGGTAAAAAAGCCTCTTGCTGCGCCCCCTCCGCAGCCCTGCCTGCTCTCCTATCCGGCGGCGGCTCCATGCACTCGGGCTCCCGTCGTCCCGTCCGCAGCCCCACGCGAGCGGCTGTGGTCGCCAAAGGCAAACTTTCCCCCTTCCCGTGCCCACCCTTGGCACCGCTTGGGCTCAGCCAGACGCCGCTCCGCCCGCAGCATGTCCCAGGTTACCTCGGCTGCGGCTGCTGCAAACATCCCGCGGCTCCTGCTCTCCGGCCGGGCTCCCGTTTGGCTCGCATTTTGCGCGCGGGGAGGCGTCTGGCTTGCCGCCCTCCGAGGCGGTCGGACCGCTCTTTGTTCTGCAAACTCTGGGCTCGCTCCTCTGGCGAAGAGAGAGCCCCCGAAAGCCGCCGCCGCTGCTCGAGCCGGCTGCACGAGGCGCGCGGGGCTCCCTCCTGGCCCGCCGCGGGAGACGACGAGCCCGCCTGCTGGAGCGCTCCTGCCGCGACGCTGCTGCTGCTGGGCTCCCTCGTGCCAAGTAGTCCCTCGCTCGGCTCAAGCCTCTTTCACCTCCGCCGGCCCACTTGCCGCCCCTTCCCCAGCGGCCTCCTCCCTCCTTCTCCCGGCTGCCAGGAGGAGCACGGCTCCTCTGCCCCCTCGGCTCCTAGCAGCGGACTCGCAGCAGCCGGCCTGCCTCCGGAGCTCTCGTCCTCCCTCCAGTGGATCTGCGTCCTCCAGCCCGCACCGTCTCTGACGTGGGCGCAGGAGGCTCCCTGCCCACAAGGCCCAATGTCAGCTTTGACTGACCGCAGCCGACGCCACGTGAGTGAGGGGATAAAGCCGCGGAGAGGACAAAACGCAGCCTTACTTGGGTTGAACCTCAGAATTAGACCGGACTTTCCCCGCAAAATGCTAAACTTTTACGGGGGGGGGGCGTCGAGGACGCGGTAACCAGTAACTGATAGCATCGGCAAGGGAACTACTTTATATCTTGCCATTTCTGCCAGAGAGTTCTACCATCCAGACGCCCAGGAGATCCAAACCTTCCTGGTTCCAAAGCATTGGTTGCTGTATCCTGTAGTTAGTTCATGCTGGAATAAAGGGTCTGTCATTTCAGACAGAACCGTTTTATAACCGGTTCCCTACTGGAATATATTTGTAATTTCAGACACAAATGCTTCTGTCCTGTTTAGGAAATGGGGCTGAAGCATTTTACCTGTCAACCTCTTCCAAGTAGTCTTCAGTTTCCTCTCCCGGTTCTGATGCGCTTTGCTTTATATCGTTATAGCCATTGGAATGTCTGGAGTGTTTTGTTATAGCGCTATAGCGCTATAAAGCGAACATTAAAAAAAAAAAGCTGGAGAGCGCCCAAGCGGGCGAAAAACGGCGGGGGGAAAGCGGGAAAAAGCGGTGCAGTCTGAAATGGCAAGTTGTTAGCCCTGGAGCCACTGCACTTCTGGTTTGTTTTCCTTGGCAACTCCTCTGAGATTATCTCCTGTGTCACAGTGATGATTCTCCTAGTGATGGCCGGTCACACGGGGAACTACCCCTTCATCACTTCAGGGGCTTGTTGCATCTGGAGAGCTGATGACCCAAGAGCCCCTATTTTCCCCACCTATACATTAATACTGTGAAATATCAGAACAGATGCAGCAAGAGGAATTTGGCCTGGCTTGCATGAGGGGCAACTGAAAGAAAATAATGCAATGTGTCTGTCAGTGGTTTAGGAAGACAGAGTCTAATCTGGAGAACTGGGGTTGATTCCCCACTCCTCCACATGAAGCATGCTGGGTGACCTTGGGCCACTCACAATACTCTCAAAACTCTCAGCCCCACCTACCTCACAAGGTGCCTGTTGTGGGGGAATGTGATTGTAAACCACCTTAAGACTCCATAAGGTAGAGAAAAGCAGGGTATAGAAACCTACTGTTCTTCTGTTTTCCTCCATGAGTCCTTCAACTTCCACAGATTTCCAATGTGTTATGTATTGTGCATACATAAGCTTCAGCTTGGATCTCACCCCTATCTAAGCCAGTTTGGTGTAGTGGTTAAGTGCGTGGACTCTAATCTGGGAGAACTGGGTTTGATTCCCCACTCCTCCACTTGCACCTGGCTGGATGACCTTGGGCAAGCTGTAGTTCTGATAAGAGCTGTTCTTGAAAAAAGAGCAGTTTCTGTCAGAGAGCTCTCAGCCTCACCTACCTCACAGGGTGTCTGTTGTGGGGAGGGGAAGGGAAAGGAGTTTGTAAGCCGCTCTGAGACACCTTTCGGTAGTGAAGGGCGGGGTATAAATCCAATCTCTTCTTCTAAATCTGGTATTGTAAAATGCACAGCCTGATTGGCTACTCTGAGCAGTGGACCAATCAGGGCATAAGAAAGATACTGGAGGGAGATGAATTCATTGGTTGTTATGATAGTATTCTGATTGGATGTTAACTCAGCCAGGGGCGTGGTTATCTAAGCCCAGATAGTTTAAAAGAGAGCGTGGTGGTCTTTTGTTTGTGTTTGTTCGTCTTGTTCTAATAAAGCTGAATCACTTGTTAATGAGCTGCCTGAAGTCTCGTACTTAACACAGTGACTATATGCTCCTTACATTATGGACTAGGATAGATTCTGCTTGTTTATTGGCTGCAGAGTTCCCCTGTGTGCAGTCTCTCCTAGTTGGCAGAGGTACTCTCAGATGTGGTGCAGGGGACACCTAGAGTGATTGTTGTGGGGGAAGTCAACATTTATGCTGAGGAGATCTTGCTGGGACTGGTACAGGATTTCGTAGCTTCTTTGACTGCTTTGGGCCTCTCTCAGGTCACAGCCCTGCACATGAAAGAAGTCACACTAGGACAATATTTTTGCAGAGCCTTTGAGGGAAGGTTTTGGTGTTGGAGATACAGCCTGAAGCATGGTCCAACCACTGTCTACTCAAGGAAAAGATGAAAGTGGCCCTGACAGCCTACTGGAAAAGAGGCCTGTTTAAAATGGTCTGCCCATGGAGGCTCGTGGATCCTCCTGTATTCCAGAATGCTCTGAGGGATTTCAGGATTCCATATAAATGCTCTTTTAAGGCTGCAATGGGGGCATGTAATGTGAAGTTCCTTGAAGCTATCAACAAGGTTGCCCCTTGTTGACCTTTGCCACTTTCAGGGTGAAATCTAGCCCCCTGGTTTACCACAGAGCTGGGTGACCTGAAGAGGACTGGGGGACATCTAGAACAACACTGGCAGAGAACTCATACTGAATCTGACAGATCTAAATGCTATAGAGTCCACCTATGGAACACCTACGAAGCGGTGATGACAGCAGCAAAGAAATGTCACTTCTCTGCTACTGTTATATCAGGGGTGTCGAACATTTGTTATGAGGGCTGGATATGACATAAATGAGACCTTGTTGGGCTGGGCCATGTGTGTCATAGAATGTAATGCCAGGTAGTGGAGATATAAACTTTATAAAGGACACAAACACAAAGATTTTTTTAACTTAAAATAAAAACATGCTTAAAACATTAGCACTCTTGCAATATTTTGTTTAACAGTATCTGAAAACTGACACCTCTTGCTCTGAATTATTGCATCAAAACGTCTGTGCTGTTGCAATCTTGACTGCTGTTCAGGTGTTTATCTGTAAGCTGCAAACTTACGATGACACAGCAGCTGCAGAACTGGAAGAAGCAGAAGACAGCCAGTTCTACTGCGGGCCTGATAGAAGCCCCCCAGGGGCCTGCTCCAGCCCCTGGGCTGCATGTTTGACACCCCTGTGTTACATCATCTAGTTCACAACCACCCAAGTTGTTCAAGGTGGCTTGGCATCTGCTGCCTCCTAAATCAGTTAGTTGTTATACTTTTTAAAAATTTTGAGAATTCATTCTGATCTGGATACTGGTTGTGACATAGGTCCACCAGAATTGCCTAATACTTGGTCTATTTATGACCCAGCTTCCAGGGTGGATGTTGACAGGATCCTGGGATTTGTGAAGGCCACATGTGTGACTCTCACCTCCCTGTGGGTCCCCCATAGCAGGATTCCCCCACTGAAAGGTCCCTAGAATACCCCACTGATTGCCCCAGTCCTAATGCAACCGAGCCTGCATAAGGTGTTAATTTTGGTGGGGTAGCTCTGTTAGGCTGTCCTGTAGCACCATAAAGGCTAATTACATTTTATTCCAGCGGAGAGGGCATAAACCTTTGGTCTAGTTTTGTGATCTAGCATACACACAAAGCCCCCCATCACGGTCTAGGTCTAACTAGTGTATTTCTCCAAACTCCTTTGTGAGCAGTCAGTTTCTTTAATCGAAGTCAGCACTGACTCCTCCAAAACAGGTGCGAAGTGAATGTACATGAAGCAGCATGGTAGAGCAGTTAGAATGCCAGCCTACGACTGGAGAAACTGAGTCAGGTCTTCATTCAGCTGTGAAGTTTATTAGTCATTTTGGATCTGTTACAGATGCAGGGATCAGCCTGAAGCATCTCAGAAAGACTGTTTGATTGAAGTTATGGTTATCAATTTATTGTATTGTTATTCCTTAATTTAGGAATATTTTGCTCAAAAGTGTATATTTTATGAAGTTGAAAGGGACCATACAG